TTAAAAATAAACAATAAAAATAAATTCAAAATTAGCCGACGGAGTCTAAACGAAAGTTGTAGATCGTAGTCTCACCTTTCCGTGGATATAAATAACATCGAAAACGGAGTTCGTATGAAGAAGATATGAATTTCCGAAGTTTGATAAATAATTTGTATTTATTTTTAAATCAAAATTCGGAAGCCTTATCCGAAGGCGAGTCATCGATCTGATCCGACTTACGCGCCGCGTAAGTGAGTACGCCCCGCGTACTCCGAAAGTGTTGACATCGCAGCAAGTGGCTTCGGATGACGCAAGTGCTTACGTTTCTGAGGCAGTACGCCCCGCGTACTGGCGTACGCCCCGCGTACGAGAGGCTTCCAGCCTCCTATAAAAGGCATGCGAGGGCAGCCGGCCAATTTGCTAATTCTCTCTCGTTTTTGCACCGAAGCTCTGCGTTTTTACCCCCGAAGCCATCCCGAAGCCCCGGTAATATTCCCGAGATCCCGAAGATCCCGAGAAGTGCGGTTTCCGAGCCGAAGCTCTGCCCGCGAGAAGTTCGATTTTCGTAAGAGATCTTCCAGATCTGCGGAGGATTACTACTTCTGCAAGCCGTAGTGCTGCCCGATCATCTTCTGATCATGTGAGTGTGTAATTACTTTCATTCCAACACAATATTATGAAGTATTTCCTATAAAATACGTGTTATGTGTATATATTTGGTTGTTATACGTGTGAGTGTATATTCACTCTCTTCTATCTTATAGATCTGAAGTATTCTCTATGAAATACGTGTTATGTGTGTATGCCTCATCTGTTATGTGAAAAATGTTTTGATTGAGCATGCTATACAGGTTTTGAAACTACGTATAAAAATGTATATTTTATCTACTAATATGTTGGGTAGAATATGGGTAGATAGTTGGTGTGTAATAAACAGATGAGAGGCCTCGATGTTGTTTTGATCCAGTCATCTAGCGGAATTTAGATGACGACCACGGACTTTTCTAGACAGTCCAGTGGAACGCTAGCAGGCTCATAACCTGTAGGTGTTAATGAACTTGGGTGTTCATTCGCTGTATTCCATCCCCCCATGGTTGCCTTATTTGACTTATATTGCTGAGGAACCCCCGAAGCATGTGTAGTCGCCCTGATGAAATATTCTTAGACTAGGTCCCTTGTGTTAGTTATTTTAGGGACATAAAGTGAGAATAACGGGAATGGGTAACTGGGTTATTGTTGGTTGATAATAATTAATTTAATTATTTATTGTGGGTTGAAAACCCTATATGCTCACCAGGCTCCCAAGCCTGACCCACTCAGTTGATTTATTTTACAGGAAGTGGCGCAAGAGCTTAAGATGGGCGAACATCAAGTTGTTTTGTTTACAAGTCTGTATATGTATATATTTGTTGAAAGACTTGTAATGCTATCGTTTATGCTTTATGATCTGTATCGGAACATGACATCCCGACTTTTGATTATGAAATGAAATCATATTTCTTTATGAAATGTTTTGATAAATATCTATTTTATCATGTTTTGTTTTTGGGAACAAATTCCGCATCTCTTTTAAAATTAAAAGGACTTACTCTGAAAATTATTTTAAAAAGCATAAATGAAATCGGTCTTTTCGGGCCGAGATTTTGGGGATGTCACAGTATCCACCTTGAGGACAAGGTGGTTCTTTTGGGGTGGGGTATTGTTATGCATCAACTTCAACCACATATGTTAAATAAGGGCAATATGAGAAAATCATCAAATAAATATAATCTTATTAGTGTAGGCGCATTTTAGGCATTTTATATTAGTTAGTTTGTTATGACAGATAGTATAATAGGGTAGTGGGAATGGGGAGTAAGGTATCTATCTTTTGTGTGAAATTTTGTAACGACCCAAAATTCAAGACCAAAAATTTCTTTTAATAAAACATTACTTTAAGCAAAGTCATCATTCCAAAACATAATCTGAGTATAAGTTTTCAAAACACATGTTCATTATCAGAGTAAACATTCCCAGGCTGTCTAATCTACGGTGTGTGCCATGCGATCACCCCGAGCTCTTCCCTCCGCTACCGGAAGTACCTGAAACCAAAACTGAAAACCGTAAGCACGAAGCTTAGTGAGTTCCCCACCCTACCACATACCATGCATAGCACATATTGCACATACTGGGCCACACCCGCTATCTTGCGCCTCACCCCCTACCTCGGGCCTCGCTCGATACAATGGTTGCGCCGCTCCAGGCCCCGCCTGACTTTGAGCCCCGCTCGGATACAGATCTGTTTCCCTTAGGCCTCGCCTGTCACAGGGCCTCGCCCGCTAACATATAATAGCACATATTCATACTGCAAAACAAAAGCTAAACATATACAATGGATCATGTCCTAAGGCCTCGCCTATCCCGGGCCTCGCCCTTGTCCTGCTACTAACGAGACATGGAACCCCGCCCATGCTCCTACTGATAGTGAGATACGGGCCCAGCCCACACTCATTCCTTCCCTAACTTGGGCCTCGCCCCTACTCTGCTGCTAATGAGATGTGGAACACCATCCACACTCTGATATTGTTGAGATATGGGACCTCGCCCACACTCACCTCCCTACCAAGCACATACATGTATCACACAGACAACCAGTATAAATTATCATATAAACAAATCCTTGGGCACCCGCCCGCTATCATTGGACCTCGTCCTGAATATCATACTAGCATACTGTGCCTAGGGCTAACCCCCGGGTCTTCTACTCATAGCTACATGGGCCAGCATTGTGGCCTTAGACCCATTCACACAAAGGGAAACTCACCTGCACTGGCTGAACTTGCTGATGATCCCACTAGCTGCTGCCTGACAACTCTCTGAACTCCTGCTCCACTCGCTCCCCGAGCTACCAATATCAATGCAACACTGAGTCTAACTGACCCCCGAAAGACTACCAAGTCAATTCTGGTCTAAGTCAAAGTCCTGGTCAAAGTCAACCTTTCCAGGTCAACCCTACTCACTGAGTCCACTTACTGACTCGCCGAGTTCATATACTCAGGGTCCTTCCATTCGCGACATGACTCGCCGAGTAAGTCCATGACTCGCCGAGTCCAACATTTTCCGAGTCCTGACCTGTCCAACATGCTGAGTCTCCATCCGACTCACTGCTTTGAGTCTCAACTCGAAGGGTTTGGGGCTTTGCAACCTGACTCGCCGAATCCAAGAGCAGACTCGCCGAGTACCATGCAATCTTCATCCAACTCGCCGAGTTCATGCCCAACTTCATCCAACTCGACGAGCTGTTCATCCCACTCGTCGAGTTCCTCCTCATCTTCATGCTACTCGTCGAGTCCACTCAAAGGACTCGCCGAGTCCATTCAGATCTCCAAACATGCAGAGGGCTTTTGAGTCATGCAGGGACTCCAAAGCATAGATCCATACTTCCAAAGCTCAATCCCCACGTAAAGTTGCAAACTTTACGTATAACTAAAGAGATCTAGGCTCAAAACATATTAGGGTTTGGTTTAAGGACAAAAGGGCTTCACCAACTACTCATCTCCTGATGCTTTATGACATATTGGACCATCCCAACAATAGATCTGAAGTGGCAACAACATATCTAAGCCCCTAACTCGATTTGGGTCTCAATCAACCATAAAACCCCCAAATCTCATGACAAAATAGATCTAGATGCAAAGAAGGGAAAATGGCAGCTTAATACCTCCAAGATGAACACAAACTGAAGTTGATATCAGGTATACACCTCTCCTTTAAAGCAACCTTCTTGATCTTCAAGTTCCTTTCCAAAGTTTCCTTCCTCCAAAGCTATTTCTCTAAAATGATGGAAGCTCACACGAAATATAGGGTTTACAGGTCCTCTGAGATGATATGGGGGCTGAGGGAGGGACATAACACCCCTTTATATAGGATACAACTCCCGGAATTAGGGTTTTCCTCGCACAGACCAGACTCGCCGAGTCTCCTTGGCCGACTCGCCGAGTCAGTCACTTACTCCTCAACCCGGATCCCGCTCGGACTCGTCGAGTCGACCCCTAAACTTAGGGTTTTCTTTCCTTTCTTGGTTTTCAAAACTTTGGGTGTTACAAATTTGGAATTATTTCCTCTGGGAGATTGGCGATCTCGAATTAGCTAAACTATCTTCATTCTTGTAAACATTTGGTATTAGTGGGTCTTTTACAATCAATATTAGAATCATTTGATTGTTTATATGTTATTGAATCGGCCTTAGAATCCAGTTCATAACAGTTGTATCCTTAATCATTAATGATTAAGAGTTTGTTTTCATAAAAATTCCAAATCTGGTAATTTACCATTCACACTTTGTTCATTTGTTACTAAAAATTCATTTTTTCTAATAGGTAAGGTAGCAGTTCATGTTTAAATGAAATTTTCCCAGATAGACACCCAATTTAATAAAAAGAATGATTGGAATCCATTCTGACGAAATTTTCCCAAATAGAAACCCACTTTAATAAAAAGAATGATTGGAATCCATTCTGGCAACTGTGATGACAGAGTAATCCATAAGTAAAAATGGCGATTTAATCAAAGAATTTATAATCTTTTGTATTGATGCCCTAACGTAGGTGACTGTAAATTTCAGAGATATTAACGAAAATCCAGCATACCCACATGAAAGTAATTTGAAGATTTTATATGATCTCAAATCGATTATATCTCTTCACATTGATATTATGCAAAAATGACGTTTGTTTGCAAAGAATTTAGATATAAAAGAGAAGTGGGTCATCGAAATGGATACTCAAATGTGTAGAATATGGGCTTATTTGCTTTAGCAATCACAACTTCAAGAATCTCCCTCCATGATTGTTCACAAACCAAATAATGCTAATCAAGAAAAAAGTAACATTTGGATACTCATGATAAAAAGAATTGATAATTAACAAATTTAACAAATTCTACAAATTGTTTCTAAGTTCACCTCCAACATGTAGTGCATCCTTCTATCAATAAAATAATAGGGAGAATGTTAATTGCTTTTAATTTCTCCTAATTTATTATTGTCTTTCAAGGAACAGGGTTGGTTCAAGCATTTCATCAAGCAGTTGGGGTAGTTGGGGTGCGTAGTGAAACTCTCTTTTAAATCTTAATATCAAGTGGTTGGGGTATAATCGATCCTTGCTCATGGGTGACTTGGACATACATAACACATTCCCTACACAAATAAAGACAAAACAAAATATAAAAAAGTCGAAAAAAATCACCACGAATATGAAAAACAAAAGTAGATGAAAAGAATTTGAGGACAATATGTAAACTTGAGCTGGTACATGGAACGAATTAGATAAAAGGGTACACGCCACCTATGTTTTAGAAAATATGAATTACAAAACGTATGTAAATCCATTCACAAAAATCGTCCAAGTTAAAAAAAAAAAAAAAGCTTTCATATTTAACATAGAAATCGTGAATTGAAATCTCCCCTTGAACAGTTTATGCACAACCCACCCATCACTGTCATCGGAAATCCGAAAACAGGAAAAAAATCAAAATTTAAAGGTTCATGTACCTGAAAAATATAAGCGAAGCAGGGATCCATCCATGTACTTAAATGTTGGAGAAGAAATCGAGGTTAATAGCCATCAAAAGTGGGTTTACATTTTTCTCTATCGGAGCATAAATGCAATGAAGTCAAGGAAAACAGCTTCACTCTCAAATCAAAAAAGGGGCAAAGGTTCATAAACAAAAAAATTAAGCAGCTACACAAAATACAGACAAACTATTATACAAAAAAAAAAAAAACAAAATTAAACCAATAGAGACAATCTACAGCCATTTTGTAGCTTGAATCTTCTCCAACCTACGTAGAAGTTACAAACAATTCAACAATAATCACCAATTCTGCCAAAAATAAAAAGAAGAAGAAGAAGAAGAAGAAGAAGAAGAAGAAGAAGGGTGAAGGGTGAAAGGTGAAGAGGAACCTGGGGCATACCGGTTCAACTTCCATGAAACTTATAAGCAATCGAATCAGAAGAAAAGGAAAAGCAATGAGCGAAGCCTGTGCTGGACGCAAAGAAGAAGGAGGTAGCTGGAGGCAACTCGCCGACAGAGGCTTTGGCGGAGGCGTCGCAAGAGAGGGGTACATGGCTGAATCAGAGAAGTAGGCGGGTTTCTTTCGGTCGTTGTCGGTGGTGGAGAGGGAGACAGTGGCTTCTTTTGAAAGAGGATCGATTGAAGCACTTGTGGCTAAGATAAGCGATGGGAAGTATGTAGAAGAATTTCAAAAAGGATTACAGAAAGGAGATATAAGTATTGGATAATTAACAAAATAAAACAAAGCAGAAAATAAATTTAAAAAAAAAACAGCCAATGGGAGCCAGGTACTATTCACAAGGGTACCTTCGAATTAATATATATATATATATATATATATATATATATATATATATATATATATATATATATATATATATATATATATATATATATATATATATATATATATATATATATACACACACACATACATACGATGTTGTAGTGTTCTGTTTTGTAAAAACCGAGAATTTGTGGTGTGCTTTTTTATTTTATACCCTTTTTAGGAACCATATGAAAACCCATACCATGTAGTCTTTTAAATATTTGTTAATAGATGATGTGATGAAATCACTTGTGATCAGAAGAGGAGAATCTAAAGGTATAAGTGAGATAATGAGAGAGGCGATGCCCATACCTGAATTGTTCGTACCATTTTATAGTTATGGTTTTTGTACATGTTAGTGAGGACCATGCGAATAGTCTTTGCCAGGTTTTAGAGGCGCGGATTGGTCCATCCGTCCTCCGGTTGATATTTTTGAGCGTTAATTGGTCCGGAAGGAGTCTTGGTTTGTGGCATGGATATTACCTCGTGTTGGCGTCCTCTCGCATGTTCCTGATTATATGCATACATGCGGCACATGTATTTGTGATGTATGAGTGTCAGACAACTAGGAAAATTAGATCAAAATTCGGCGATCAAAACCACAGCGAACACACAATTTAATAGATCTAATGTAATATATTCCACTCATTTTAATGCAATTGAAGTTTTTATACTTGTAAACGCATAGCCGCATAGGGAATTCCACTTTCGTCTTCGATGGATATAACTTGTTGACAAACAACCATTATTCATTATACATAAGTAGTTATTTGATACATACAATTGAAATACAATTTATGTATCAAGTATTATTATGTATAGATGACACACTAAAAGATAGTACATGTAAATACGATTTCGTGTATGTAAAAATATCAAAAATAGAGTTCGTATGCAAAAGTTAGGTCATTTAAAGAAAACGAACAGTCAAATAACTGTTTGCGGTATGTAACGACCAAAAATGACATTTCAAACACTTTGTGGGGTACTTTAAAATATGAATTTTCAATCCCGAACAATTTTTTTCTTGAACCTTAATCAATCTACTATTTGATTTTTAAGTGAACTTATTTTTCCCAATACAACCACACACCACTGTGAGTAAGAATAAAACAACACACTATTGGCTTTCCAGCAAATGAATCTCCAAACAGTTCAATGGAATAGTTACACTAATGTGATCTCACCCAAAATTGAGGTTTGAACACGTTTTGTCCAATCGTTCTATTGGTTGCAGAATTGTAAAACAAAGGTGGAAACTGCGACCCGTTGTCTATAAAGAGACAAGAACCTGGGTATAAAATGCTACAATCAACCCACCAAATTGATTGATAAGATTGAACGCCACAAGCTATAAAAACCTGATAAGTTCTAAAGTTCACAAAGAATGAAAAAGAGTTAAAAACTCACAAAGTTGTATTCAAAAATTGATTGATTCCAAATGGATACAAGGACCACGTTTTTATAGTGTGGGAAAAGCAATTAAAGAGCCATGAATTAAAGAAAGTGTCTTTAATTTAAGGCATTTAACACCCAAGTAAAAATTATGAATCTAGACATGGTTTATCAAAAGGTTCATGTAACCTAGGACCCTTTTATCTTCCCAACACTTATTTAGGAGGCATAAAAACGAAAATGGCATATTAAAATGTAGAAAAACGAAATGGGCTTGATAAAGGCTCTTATTGGATCTGGAAAATCACTCTTGGACTTGAATTATGGTAATCCAACTTTGATTAGGTCCAATGTGTCTCCATGAACTTTCTTGAGTACAAACTTCTCTAATCAACCCATTTAAAGCCTCCTTGAATGCTTTAGCTCGTTCCCTCATAACCGGTCCATCGGACATTTTAATTGGATCCTTTGTAAACAACTGTAGGTTTGTATCATACCTCTCCTCTTGAAAAGGATTTGTCCTCAAATCAGAACATACATCAAAAGGAGCTAGATCAGTGACATTGGAAGTTGCACTAACATTATACTCACTCGACAGGTCCAATTTGTATGCATTGTCATTGATGCGCTCTAAAACTTGGAAAGGATCGTCCTCTCTTGGAAGCGATTTTGAACGTCGTTGGGCTGGAAATCGTTCTTTTCGCATATGTAACAAACCCAATCACTAGGTTCAAAAATCATCTTGTGTCTCCCTTTATTCACTTGTTTTGCTCCGTTCTTCTTTCTATATTTAGTCTTGCTTTCTCATGTATCTGTTTCAAAAATTTAGCCTTTTTGTTTCCATCTAAGTTAACCTGCTCAGGAAGAGGCAAAGCTGATAAATCCAAAGGATTTAAAGGATTAAAACCGTATACAATTTCAAATGATGACATTTTTGTAGCAAAATGAGTGGCACGATTGTATGTAAACTCAACATGTGGCAAACAGTCCTCCCATGTTTTGATGTTCTTCTTTATTAAAGCTCTCAACAAAGTAGACAAGGTCCTATTCACCACTTTTGTTTGACCATCAGTTTGTGGGTGAAAAGTTGTTGAAAACAAGAGCTTTGTCCCTAATTTTGCCCACAAAGTATTCCAAAAAATAACTCAAAAACTTAGAATCCCGATCCAAGACAATGGTTTTTGGCATTCCATGTAACCTGACAATTTCTCTAAAAAAAACAAATCAGCAATGTGAGATGCATCATTAGTTTTATTGCGCACAATAAAGTCAGCCATTTTAGAAAACCTATCAACAATCACAAAAATAGAGTCCTTTCCACTTTTGGATCTTGGTAGACCCAACACGAAGTCCATTGAAATATCAACCCATGGTTCACTTGGCATCAGAAGTGGAGTATATAAACCATGATGTTGAACCTTAGATTTGGCTTGCTTGCACACTATATAATTATTACAAATTCTTCCGACATACACCTTCACTTTTGGCCAAAAGAATGTTCCAGCAAAGTAAATAATGTTTTTGCCGTCCCAAAATGTCCCATAAGGCGTCCACTATGTACTTCTCTAACCAAAAGCTCACGCAAGGAAGATTTAGGAATGCAAAGTCTTGATTCTTTGAACGAAAAACCACTATGTAAGAAAAACTTTTCAAAAGAGCATTTTTCACAAGCTTGGTAAATCTGCCCAAAATCAACATCATTGTGATATAATTCCTTGATTTGTTCAAATTCAAGAATTTTGAAATCTAGAGAAGAAAGTAGAGAGTGTCTACATGACAAAGCATCAGCCACAACATTTTCCTTACCTTTCTTGTATCGGTTGACATAAGGAAATGTCTCAATGAACTCCATCCACGTAGCATGTCTTTTGTTTAATTTGTGTTGTCCTTTTAGAAACTTTAAATACTCATGATCTGAATTAATGACAAATTCTTTAGCCCACAAATATTGTTGCCATGTTTTCAATGATCGGACAAAAGAATAAAGTTTTTTGTCATAAGTTGGGTAATTTAAAGTTGCCCCACTTAGGTTTTCACTGAAATATGCCAAAAGTTTACCCTCTTGCATCAAAACTGCACTAATTCCAATTCCTGATGCATCACATTCAATTTCAAATTTTTTTTTTTTATCAAAATTAGGCTAAGACCACAAAGGAGCATGATTTAAGTGAAAGTTGAGCTGTTGAAAAGCATGCTCTTATTCTTTGCCCCATTTAAACCCCACATTCTTTTTGATGAATTCCGTAAGTGGTGATGCTAAAGTGCTAAAATGTTTGACAAATCTGCGATAAAAACTTGCAAGGCCATGAAAACTTCGAACTTCACTTATAGTCTTTGGAATTTGCCAATCATGATGGGTTTTACCTTTTCTGCCTCAACAGCCACTCCTTGGGAGCTCACCACATACCCAAGGAAAATGACTTGGTCGGTACAAAATTTACACTTCTTCAAGTTTACATATAGGCTTTCCTTCCTAAGCACACTCAAATCACATGTTAGATGCTCAAGGTGATCTTTTGAACACTTTGAATAAATCAAAATATCATCAAAGTAAACAACCACAAATTTGCCAATATATTCACGCAAAACATGGTTCATTAATCTCATGCAGGTATTAGGAGCATTAGTTAGGCCAAAAGGCATTACTAACCATTCATATAAATCATGTTTTGTTTTAAAATCTGTTTTCCACTCATCACCTTCTTTCATCCGAATTTAGTGATACCCGCTTTTCAAATTAGTTTTGGAAAAAAGTTTTGCTCCATACAACTCATCAAGCATATCATCGAGTCGGGGGATGGGATGACGATGCTTTACTGTGATATTTTTGATGACATGATAATCTATGCACATTCTCCATGAACCGTCCTTCTTTGACACTAATAAGACTGGAACAACACAAGGACTCATACTTTCTTGAACCAATCCCTTTGAAAGTAACTCTTCAACTTGCCTTTGTAACTCCTTGGTTTCTTCAGGGCTTGTTCTATAGGCTGGTTTGTTGGGAATAGATGCCCCTGGCATAAAGTCAATTTGGTGTTCAATCCAACGAATTGGCGGCAATCCATTTTGAACATCCTCAACATACAAGTCTTCAAATTCCTACAAGAGAGAGGTAACATCGCTCGAAAAATTTCCGATTGAAATCTTAGTGGCTACTTCAGCTTCCTTCAACGAAAGAAGCACAAAATGCATTTCAGATTTGCTAGCTTCTCTTATCTCACCTTTTTTTTCTAATGCTAGATATTTATTTTATTTTTTTCTTTCCGTCTTTTCTTGACATTTTCTTTGTTTTTTTCATTCTCTTTTTTTTCGTTCATCATCTTTTTTTTTTCTCACTCTCATTTTTTTCTTCATTCTCTTTTTTTCTTCACTCTCTTTTTTTGCATCTTGTTGAAGTTTTACTTGATCTTGGTAAACTTGAATTGGTGACATTAGTACAAGAGTTACCGGTTTGGTTTTGTAAACAAAAGTGTATTTGTTGGTGAATCCGTCGTGACTTACATGCCTATCATATTTCCATGGTCTACCTAGCAGCAAATGAGTAGCTTGCATAGCAACAACATCACACAATACCTCGTCTTCATATCTTCCAATCCGAAATGAAATCATCGCCTATTTTGTAACTCGTGCCTCACCACTATCATTGAGCCATTGGAGTTTGTATAGTTTTTGATGCTTCATCGTGGGTAGACCTAACTTTTGAACCATGGAAGTACTTGCAAAGTTAGTACAACTCTCACCATCAATTATAACACTACATACCTTGCCTTGAACATTGCAACGAGTATGAAATATATTCTCCCTTTGGGCATCGTGTCCCTCCTTGGATTAAATGTTTAGAGCTCATCTTGCAACCAACAAATCTCCTTAAACAACCACCTCTTCATCATCATTAGAGTCTTTCGATGAAACGATAAAATCTGATTCATCCATTTTGATCTCACCATTTTGTCTAATCACCATGGTAAGCTTATTTGGGCATTGACTCGCAATATGACCCCTCCCTTGATACTTGAAACACTTTATGTCACGATTCCTAAGAGTAGAAGAATCGATTTTCCTTTAGAAGTGTTTATTGTTTTAGGATCATATTTGGAATTAGAAGAAG